TGGCCATGACACCACACGAATGGTCCGCAAAGCAAACAACAGAAATGGCCACAACGCCACAACGCCACAACCACACACACACACACACACACACACACACACACAAAGTCACGCTGACAAAGCGACCGTTGCATCTCCACCACTGCCACTGCCACCACCATCGTCAGTGGGTGTACCTGGATGTCTGGGTGGCGGCTGCGGATGATGCGACGAGCGATGCCCAGCACCTGCTGGTACTCCGTCTCGGGGATACCTGTCTTGGCAACAAAGTCCTTCACGCCCGTGCACAGCAGCGACAGCAGGCCACGCATCTGGAAGCACAGCACAGTCACGCGTACAATCGTTTGCAGTGAGGAGGGATGAGGGCAGGGCGGCAACGACGACTTGGCTAGCTGCTCATAAGCACGGCGCATGCGTTGATGGCGTTTGGAGCGACATGACATCACACACACACAGACACACAGACGCACAGACAACACAAGTGAGGGCGCACCACTGGCGACGAGGGGTTTTGGATGGCGTGCTGGTAGACGCCGGCAATGGAGAGAATGGCCAGCCGCGCCACAAGCGTCTGCAGACTCAACCTGGCGTTGACACACATGCACACACACACCCACACATTCATGCACAATCCGTGGAAATGCGGTGAGTGGCCGTCGTGCGCATATGTGCTGCCCGAAAAGAGGCCACTTGATGACAAGAGAGGGAAGCAGCAAGACTGGAGATGACAACAACAACATCAGCATCAACAACAACAACAACACACATACACAGCCGCACACCACCACCACCACCACCACCACCACCATCATCATCATCATCATCACAGCCAACTTTCATGACGGTGCACGCACAGGATGAGCTGGGGCTGCTGTGCGAGGGTTGGCTCGAGGAGGTCTGAGCCAAAGTAACGGCGCAGGGCAGCCAGGCGGTCGATAAACTGCCGCGGACTGCGCGAATATCCAAACAGACTCCGCTGCGCGGACGGCACAAGCACCGTTTTCTAAATAGCACAAAGCACACACGTGACTGTGAGGGGCACGAAGAGCTGCTTGGGCTGTGCGTGTGCGTGTACGTGTGTCGAGCAGGGCGCGAGGGCGACTGAAATTGCATCCACCAGCAGCCACAGTGACGATACACCACACTGCATCGACACTGCAGCGACACGCTCACCGTTGTCTCGTACGAGAGGCCGAGCTCCTCGAAGGCATCGAAAAAGTCCTTGAGGTCCTCTTGTGATGTCATGCGGCGCGGCACGTCATGCACCTGCAGCACACACACACACACACACACACACACACACACACACACGCACGCACGCAATGGCGAGGACGAAGATGACAAGGGCAATTGTTGAGTATCAATGATACCACAAGCCCACTCATTCACGCAACAGTAGTAATGGTAGTAATGGCAGCAACACCACACGCCACCAAAGTCAACTCTGCAAGGCGCAGCGACGAGTGCATTGCCTGCGTTTCTCGGTGTCTTACCAGGGAGGGGAAGCACTTGAGGTCGATTTCCTTGGCAAAGCGGAGGTTGCTGGCGGCGACATCAGGGTCAAAGGCCGCCAGCGCCTCCGGGTGCTTGGCCAGCAGGTGCTCCAGCCACTTGCCGGGGCAGCCAAAGGTCGGGTCGGAGAAGAAGCGCAGCACAGCCTGCATCCGCTCCGCTGTAGAGCCACATGCACATTGGGCAGGATGGCGTGAGAGTACAGTCAGACAACGGCAGGGCAGAAGGTGTAAGGGAGGGTGTGTGTGATGATAATAACAAGACAATGTGCACTACCTTCTTGCATGCCAGCCACTGCCACATGGCTGAGCATGGCTGCATGCATGCACAGACACACACACACGCACGCACACACACACGCACACGGACACAGACACACACGCACACACAGACACAGACAGACAGACAGACACACACACATACACACAAACAAACAAACAAACACAGGCACAGACCAGCACTGCATGCAAGCACGCACCGGGCATGGCGAGGATGGGCTGGAGAATGGGTGCCGCGTGGTCGAAATCACTGTTGGAGAGGTCGATACCGGCAGCGCGCAGCACATCCGCCGCATGTGTATACAGCTCTGAGGCTGGTAGTGCCACAGCAACGCAAGCGCGAGCGCGACGCCACACATGTCAAGTGGGCAAGGAATGTGTGAGCGTCATAGAGAAAGCCACGGACCGCAACACAGACGACCGAGCCAACACAAAGCAGCAAGCCACAGACGGAACACAAACGGCAACATCCACATCCACAAACACAAACACAAACACATACATCCAAACAAGCACACATACCACATTCTGACCAACACAGCCACCAATCTACCATTCGTCGCAATCACCAGCAACAACGCCAGCACCAACACTTACAGAGCCTGAGCTGTTTTGGCCTTCGAAGACGGGCAAGTTCTTGGCGGTGCCAGCCCTGGGACTCGTTGCCTACTGCGTACTCGTGCTGCTGCTGCTGCTGTTGGTATTGGAAGCGGGTCTGCTGTGACCTGAAGAGGTGGAGCAGGTCGTCGCCGACCTCGACCTCTTGTTGCTGGCTGTGTGCCTGTCGTCGCTGGTGGTTGTTGTGGTTGTGTGAGGATGAGACGTGGTGTGTGATGGCGTGGTGTTGGGTGCTTGCCGGTTGCACTAGCGCGCCTGCCCCGCCCATGGCGTGCATGTGGTGGGCGTGCGGGTTTCTGCAGTATCGGTGGCTGCCTGCACTGCTTGCGGCGCCATTGACTGGGGTCCACGACGCGTCTGCAGCAGCAGCAGCAGCACTGCCTGTGGTGCGAGGGCGCAGGAACATGGTGCTGGCAGGGTCGTGCCTGGAAGTGGTGGTAACAAGCCGCCTTCTTGCCTGACAGGTCATGCAGGACTGGAAGGGTGGCGCTGTGGCCGCGGTGGCTGCTGCGGTTGAGCTGCTGAGGCGCAGTGAGCGGGCCATGCTGGGCACAGGTGCACGGACCTGTTGTCGCAGCCAAGCGACTGCGCGTGCGCTGGGGACGCTCATAATGAATGTGTGTGTGTGTGTGTGAATGTGTGTGTATGTTGGGTTGATGGGTTGATGGAAGGATGAGTGGAGTGGATGGGTTGGCTGCTGTGTTGGCTGCTGTGTTGGCTGCTGTGGTGTGCTGCTGTGTTGGCTGCTGTGGTGTGCTCACAACCTGGAACAGTTGCTGTCGGTGGCGTGCACGCTTGATTGCCTGCCTCGCTCCACACGCTCGGTTGCCGCACACGCCACAAACAAGCGAAAAAGGCTGAAAGCAGCGGCAGCAGCGCGTGTGTGGCTTTGAGTGGCCCAAGGTGGGTTGCGTTGCAAAAAGCACCCTTGATGGTGAACGTGGGATTTGCAGGGAAAATTGTAAATTGCACCCGTTGGCAGTGGTGCAATTTGTGCAAACCGTGGACATGGGTGACAGTGATGAGTACCTCAACCCTTGGGGCGAGGATGATGCGCTCGCTCGCTCCATGAAGGAGTTTGAGGAGCGGAAGGCAAAGGCAGAGGCAGAGAAGAAGAAGAAAGAGGAGGAGCAGGAACAGGAGCAGCAGGAGCAGGCGAGGAAGAAAGAGAGCGGCAGTGGCGGTGGTGGGGATGTGGGTGATGATTACGTGGATCCCTACGGCCGCGGGGACGAATTGGCACAGATGATGAAGGTGCATGAGAGAGAGAGAGTGTGTGTGTGTTGCTTGTGTGTGGTTGTGGTTGTGGTTGTGGTGTGTGGTGTGTGGTGTGTGGTGTGTGGTGTGTGGTGTGTGGTGTGTGGTGTGTGGTGTGTGGTGTGTGGTGTGTGGTTGTGGTTGTGGTTGTGGCTGTACATGTGTATTGCTAGTGTTTCGTGAAGCGCTCTCGTGGTGTTGTGTGGTTTGACACACTCCAGTCCATCGCATCTCGTCTCCCTCTCCCTCTCTCCCCGCTTTCCTCACGCACACACCAACACGCCGACACGCACACACACACGCACACACACGCACGCACTGACAGGCGTTTGAGGCAAGGAAGCAGCAAGCCGAGGCACAGAAACAGGCGCTGGCTGCGCAGCAGGCAAAGGAGAAGGAAGAGAAGGAAGAGAAGGAGGCACAGGACTTCGCGGCAAAGACAACAGAGCCAACATCACGGCAGAGAAGCGATGACAGTAGGCGAGCCACGACCAAGGCACGAGACCGCTCCAGCAGCAGAGACCGACACAGACACAGAAGCAGGAGCAGGAGTCCACATCGGCGCGGGAGTCGACATCGCGAGTCCAGCAGCAGGCGCAGACGGCACCATGACAGCCGCAGCCGCAGCCGCAGCCGGAGTCGCAGCCCAAGGAGGAGACGCCGGTATCGCAGCCGCAGCCGCAGTCCCCGGCGCCGGTACAGCCGCGATGACCGCCATCGCAGACACGACGATCGACGGCGGGACGAGAGGCGTGAGCGGCACCGCGAGCGGGGGCGTCACGAGGACCGAGGACGGGAGCGGCGTAGCAGGTCGAGGGAGCCCACAAAGCACGGCCACAGTGGCAGTGGTGCTGGCAGCGGTGGCGATGTTGCTGCCACCGACCCCATGTTCAACCTCTCTGCCCCGCTCGTAAGTCGCATGCTTTGTATGTGTGTATGTTGTGTTGTATTGCGTTGTGTGTTGTGTTGCGTTGTGTGTGTGTTGCGTTGTGTGTGTGTTGTGTTGTGTTGTGTGTTTTGTGTGTGTGCGTGTTGTGTGTGTGTGTATGATATCTTCTCTGCATGGGTTGTGGAGGCACGTGCTCACGTGGATGCGACGACGTGGTGCTTGTGTGCGCTGCAGGTTGTTGATCGGTTCCTGGAGGTGTGGACGGCAAACAACAACGCAAACACTCGCGTGAAGGAGCTGCTGGAGCTCTTTGACACAACGTCCTTTGAACTCCGTGGCCTCGTGCGCAGGGGTGCGTGGCGCTCATGTGTGTGTGCATGTGTGCATGTGTGTGCATGCATCAGTGTGACGTCCAGGTCTTGTGCGTGGCGTTCAATCTTCCTCTCCACCAGCTCACATCCTGCTCTTTCACACCACCACCACCACCATCATCATCATCACCACCTTCGCCGCCTTTTGTACGTGCGTGTGTGTGTGTGTGTGCACGGTTAACTAGAGCGGCTTGTGAGTGGTGCCGATCTCCAGAACAACTTCAAGATGACGCGCCCGTGGCCGGCAAAGCCATGCAAACGCCTCTTTGTCGAGAGCAACCGTCCAACTGACCCAACGGTGCGTGCTGCCCTCTGCGCTTGTGCAAGCACGTGTTTGTGTGCGTGTGTGTATGTGTGTGTATGTGTGTGTGTGTGTGCATGCGCATGTGAACGATATTTTGTGCCACTCAAAGACCTCAAGGCACTACTCGATCGTCATTCCACCTCATTATCACCACTACCGCATATATGTGCACGTGCGGGCGTGTGCAGTTTGCGCTCGACTTCTACCGCAAGGGGGAGGGCCCGTGTTTTTCGCACATTGGGTACACCGTCCACCCGCCAACAGTAGACCTCGCTCTCCTCTACCGCGTCCAGAACAACAAAATCACACAGGTGTGTGTGTGTGTGTGTGTGTGTGTGCGTGCGTGCGTGCGTGTGTGTGTGTGTGTGCGTGTGTGTGCGTGTGTGTGTGTGTGTGTGCGTGAAACTCTTTTTCTGTCCACGTCTCTGTTACTTTGTCTATGTGCGCCCCCTCTCACTGGTTGTGGTTTGCCTTTGGCGTTGCCACCAACCACCACGCCACCGCCACATCAACTCAACCCCCCCCCCTCGCTGCTCACCCTCCTCTGGTCACATGTGCGGGCTGGAATTGCAGATCCACGTCGCTGAGGACAAGGAGGGACTGGTGCTGACAGACGATGTGGAGGAAGACGACGTCACCGCATCCGCCATTGGCAAACAGGTGATGATGATGATGATGGTGATGATGATGATGGTGATGATGATGGTGCAAGCTGCTCTTGCAGACTTGGGGGTGGCTGGTGGTTCGTTGTGGTTGTAGTGGTGGTGGTGTTGTTGTTGTTGAAGCAGACCTTACATGCACACATGTGCACACACATCGGTGATTGGTTGTAGCTGACGCCCATGTCCTATGTAAACACCCGCGGATGTGTGTGTACATGTGTGTGCATGCCAGGCGTTCGACGTGATGATCCGGCCTGGCGGGCTCGGCGGCACGAGCATCAACCGCGTCTTCAACAACTACGACAACATCCCCGTCATCGGCTGATGCATCGTCGTCGTCGTCGTCGTCGTCATGGTGGTGGTGGTGGATGGTAGTTTGCAGTGGTGGTGGTGGTGGTGGCACGTGAGCCACTGTTCTTCAACATCAATATGCACAACTCTTTTTTTGTCTTTGAGAACGCACCAACCCCGCCAATACATGAACGCGTATGCGCTGGAGAAGTTTTAATCACTGCATGGAATGCAACGTGAAGAAGAGGAACAGCCTATCCTGTCACGCACACACGCACGCGCGAGCGAACTGCTAGTTTGCAGAGAGTGGGAACTGTGAGCATGCGGATGTTGATACAGACACATGGTTGAAGAAAGAAGGGCAAGGGGGGAGAAAAGAAAAAGCGAGACGCTGAGGTACATACAGGGGTGAAAAGACGAACGCGTGCACACACCTACACAGAGAGAGAGACACACACACACCTACACAGAGAGAGAGACTGAGAGACACACACACCTACACAGAGAGAGAGACAGACACACAGACAGACAGACAGACAGACAGACAGACACACAGACAGACAGACAGACAGACAGACAGACACACACACGGACACACACAGAGCAGGCGACGTCGGGTGTTACGACGCTGCGTCCTCGGCAATGGGGTTGGCGTGGAGAGTGACGGAGCGAATGCGAATCTCAATCTCGGGGCGATGCTTCTTCCCCTTGACAGGCGTCTTCTCAATCGCCTCCAGCGTGTCAAACCCGTCAATCATCCTGCGGCAGTCGTGGTGGGGGCAGTGGCGGTGGTTGGTGACGTCAATGAATTGGGATGTGAAGAATGACAAGGGTGGGCAGAATACGCAGAGAGATGTACTGCGAGGTGGTGTACGTGCAAACACAGCACACAGCACACAGCACACACACACACACACACACACACACACAACGTGCATCTTGTGTACGACTCACCGGCCGATGATGGTGTATTTGCGGTCAAGATGGGGTGCTTTGCCGTATGTGATGAAGAACTGGGACCCGTTTGTGTCTGGCCCTTGGTTTGCCATCGACACGATGCCGCGCGCATTGTGCTGCGAGGGACGCACGTTGACATTGGGCGTGAGCATGTGCATGTGGATGAGAATCAGCCATGAGCAGTTCGTTGCATGCCATGTAATCAAAGCGCAGAGAGAGAGAGAGAGAGAGAGAGAGAGAGAGAGAGAGAGAGAGAGAGAGAGAGAGAGAGAGAGAGAGAGACAAGGAGACGCCCACACACACACACACACACACACACACACACACACACACACACACACACACACACACACACACACACACAACACACACACCCACACACACACCCACACACACACACACACACACACACACACACACACATGCACACACACACACACACACACACACACAGTCGCACACACACACATGTCCTGAACTCACTTTGAGGGTAATGTCAAACTCGTCTGGAAAGTAGCCACCCCAGATGGACTCGCCGCCTTTGCCCGTGCCCGTGGGGTCACCCATCTGTACAATGAACCCCTTGATGTTCCTGTGGATGAGCGTGCCGTCGTAGTACCCGCTCGCACAGAGGGCGAGGAAGTTCTCCGCTGAGCGTGGCACGCGCTCGCAGAAGATCTCAATCTTGATATCGCCAAGATCCGTGTGCAGCGTTACAGACTGCGAACGCGTTGTTGAATCGTTGTGCGCAAGGGCAAGGGCGTGAGAGAAGCGCGCACCAGTGCGCAGGGCACACACACACACACACACACACTCTCTCTCTCTCTCTTCCTAAATATCGCCAAGGCAAGACCAGCTTCACGTCACATTCCACATAACACACGCACACGCACATGCGCATGCGCAGCAGTGTGTCACTGCCACCACCATCACCCACCATCGTGTCGTGTCTTGTGTGTGTAAACGTTCGCCTGCTTCTTGCTTGCTTGTTGCTTGTTTTCCGGTTTTGTGCACAAGACACGAAGAAGAAGAAGAAGAAGAGAAAGAAAGCAGGTCAGTGGTGGTGTGGTGTTGTGATGTGTGTGTGTGTGCATGGTGATGTGTGTGCATGGTGATGTGTGCGTGTGTTACCTGCCTCTCCTGCTGATGCTGACGCTGTTGTGGTGTTGCTTGTTTGACACATACACAGGCATATCATGTCCATTCCACCGTCATCATGGCGACCGCGCGAGGTCGAGTTTGTCACATCCATGGTACGTGCTGTGTGTGTGTGTGTGTGTGTGTGTGTGTGTGTGTGTGTGTGTGTGTGTGTGTGTGTGTGTGTGTGTGAGGTATGTCATCTGCTTGGTGGTGACATGTGCTTGCTGGTTGTTGTCCATGTACGTGTCAGTGAAAGAACACCTTTGCAAATCAATCGCTGTGCTAATCGCTTTCGCGCACACCACATATTATCATGACCACGCAGGGCAACTTCACCTGCGAGCTGTACTGGGATCACGCCCCAAAGACATGCCGTAACTTTGCAGAACTGGTGCGTGGGAGTGTGTTCGTGCTGCATGTGTGTGCGCATGTTCTGTGTTCTGCTGTGCGTGTGTCTCTGTGAGCAGGAGCGAGTGCTCTCCTCTTTTGTCAGCCACACCCTTTCTTGTTTCCATATCACACACCCACACCCACACCCACACACACACACACACCCACACACCCACACACCCACACCCACACCCACACACCCACCACACACACACACACACACACACACACACACACACACACACACACACACACACACACACACACACACACACACACACACACGTGACTGCTTCCTGCTAACGTTCGACTCGTCGTCCATGTTGCAGGCAAGGAGAGGTTACTACAACAACTGCATCTTCCATCGCGTGATTGCGGTATGACTTGTATCCCCCTGCGTGCGTGTGTGAGTGTGTGTGCGAACAACACTTGTTGCGCGTCTCAGTACAGCTCATCAGTGACCCCTTTCTTCCCTCCCTCGCTTCCTCCCAACATCTCACCACCGTATGTGTGCAGGATTTTATGGCACAAACCGGGGATCCAACCGGCACAGGCAGGGGCGGCGCTTCCATCTACGGGTGTGTCCGTCCGTGTACATGTGTGTGTGTGTGTGTGTACATGTGTGTGTGCGTGCGCGCGCGTGTGTGTGCTGTGTTGTGGGTGCTTTCTTTCTGCCGACAAAGCATGCTGCATTTCGTTCAGGTCGTCCTTTACCAACGCGCGCTCACATCGTACCGCACGACCACCAAACACACACACACACACACACACACACACACACACACACACACACACACACACACACACACACACGCATGCAGCGCCAAGTTTGAGGACGAGATCCACCGCAAGCTCAAACACACGGGCGCCGGCATCCTGTCCATGGCAAACAGGTCCTGCTCATGTGTACAAGTCTCTGAACGTTCTGCATTGCGCACATGCTTATAATTGCGTGCGTGTGTGTGTGTGTGTGTCGCCACTTGTTGTCTTTCATTGCGTCCCACTCATCACATGCAACCTTTGCTTCCCTACTGCAGTGGTCCCAACACAAACGGAAGCCAATTCTTCGTCACCCTGGCCCCAGCGCAGTGGCTTGACGGTGCGTGCTGCTTGCTTGCAACTTTGCTTGTTTGCGTGATTGTGTGTGCTTGTGTGGTTTTGTGCATGCACGATCTGCGTTCCATTTCAGGTACATCCTTCCATCCATGTTCTCCTCCCAGCCATGTCTCCGCCAACCACCAACCACTGTTGTTATGTTGACGTTGCTGTTCCCGTGCCTGACCCCCACCCCAACTCTCTCTGTGCGGGCAGGGATAGAGGCAAATACCACC